CGATCTCGGCTCACCGCAACCTCCGCCTCCTGGGTTCAGGCAATTCTCCTGCCTCAGCCTCCTGAGTAGCTGGGATTACAGGCACGCGCCACCATGCCCAGCTGAATATTTCAATACTTCTAACCCAGAGCATACATACCCTGAATTTGCTTCTTCTCACTCATTCGATGGATTTCCTGACTGGGGCACCAGCCCAAGCTGAGGCTGTGATTGATTCTTTCCGTTTTAGTTTAGCTAATTCCTAATGTGAAGGATTTTTCACTTTCTGTAAAGATACACTGTTGTCAATGAGAATAGGGTATCAGCCATTATCTTCTCAGCTCTTTTTTGGTATCATGGCAGTTTGTAATCTTTTTCTTGGGAAACAGTAATCCTGAATTCAGTGATATTTCGTATTTCTCTTAGAGCCTTCATAGGACACTTAATATCAAATAGGTCTATCCTAAAGTATTTATAAATTGGCCCTTTAAGGTTTTTATTTTCTGTGGAGTGTCATTTTGTGTCATTGTTTAATCATTTACCAATGTCTTTCTAACTTGGAGAATTCATTATCAGAAGTGTGGTAAAAATATTGGAAATAGATGAATATCTATGCTTTTCTTAATTTGAGAGGGTTTAAGACACAGTAAGGGATAAGTAAAGAAATACACATGATTTTTTGTCTCTTAGACAGGAGAGAAGAGTAGAGATGATGCTTTGGAAGCCATAAAAGGAAATTTAGATGGATTTTCCAGAGATGCAAAAATGCACCCTACTCCAGCATCGCACCCCAAGAAACCAGGTAGTTTTAAGAGGCATTACATTTTTCTTTTCTTGGAAGGTGGCTTATGTAGTCCCTGTTTGTTTACCTGGCCATTATATGTGTGTGTGAAAAGTCAATGCAGAACTCTTCCTTCAAGCTGAGTACAGATTTGGATGTTCTCAAATGTACAATGGCTTAAGAGGTCTAGCCTGGATAACAACTGTCTTGAGAGGGAAAAAAACCTCTTTGTCTTCTAATTAAATGTCAGTATGACAATTTCACCTGTAAGTTTTCTGTATATAAGAATGTAAACATTAGTAAAACCTATTTACTCAGAGCAAATGTAATAAAGGAGTTTACCATTTAATTCTCATTGTTTTATAGTAACTTTTATGAGCTAGTTCTGATTTCATTATTTAATGTGATGAAACTTAAAATTCTTAAAATGCCTCGTTTTAAAAATCATAGGTATAATAATACTCCTCATGAAATTTTAGTTTCTTTAATGCGTTCTTTGTAGTTTTTAATCAACATTTATTGTCAGGTAAGCAAAAAGAAATGTGCCTATTTAGAGCAGGTTAAAGGGATTTGGGCGAAGGGGTGGTTTTTCTTTTGAACACTTAGTAGTTGAAATGAGTTTTGTCTTTGCATAATTGTTACAACATTCTTTTTAAAAATTCAACATTTCAGGCCAGGCACCATGGCTCATGCCTGTAATCCCAGCACTTTGGGAGGCCGAGGCAGGTAGGATCACTTGAGGTCAGGAGTTCAAGACCTGCCTGGCCAACGTGGTGAAACCCTGTCTCTATTAAAAATACAAAAATTAGCTGGGCATAGTGGTGCAAGCCTGTAGTCCCAGCTACTCAGGAGACTGAGGCACGAGAACCGCATGAACATGGGAGGCAGAGGTTGCAGTGAGCTGAAATCATGCCACTGCACTCCAGCCTGGGTGACAGGGAGACCCAGTCTAAAAATAAATAATAATAAATGTGAAGAAGCAACAATAAAATAGTCTTATTAATGAGCTTCATATTAAATACAGCTTCTGTAGAACAGGTTTTTTTTTTTTTTTTTTTGAGACAGAGTTTCACTTATGTTACCCAGGCTGGAGTGCAATTGCGCGATCTCGGCTCACCGCAACCTCCGCCTCCTGGGTTCAGGCAATTCTCCTGCCTCAGCCTCCTGAGTAGCTGGGATTACAGGCACGCACCACCATGCCCAGCTAATTTTTTGTATTTTTAGTAGAGATGGGGTTTCACCATGTTGACCAGGATGGTCTCGATCTCTTGACCTCGTGATCCACCCGCCTCGGCCTCCCAAAGTGCTGGGATTACAGGCTTGAGCCACCGCGCCCGGCAACATTTATATCTTTTAGTGCCAAAGATCTTTTAAAGGTAGTCTTCAGGAGGGATTTACTTTCTTAAATTGACTATAGTTGTTTGATTCAGCACTTTATGATATCCTAGTGTTGATACTTTTCACAAGAAAATATCATCTTAATAATGTATTTAACGTTCTTGTCTTGGCTGGGTGTGGTGGCTCATGCATGTAATTCCAGCACTTTGGGAGGCCAAGGTAGGTGGATCACTGAGGTCAGGAGTTTGAGACCAGCCTGGCCAATATGGTATATCTCTGTCTCTACTAAAAATATAAAAATTAACCAGGTGTGGTGGTATGTGCCTGTAGTCCCACCTACTTCAGAGGCTGAGCCAGAAGAATCACTTGAACCTGGGAAACTAAGGAGAGGTTGCAGTGAGTCTATATCACGCCATTGCACTCCAGCCTGGGCATCACAGCGAACCTCTGTCTCAAAAAAACAAAAAAGTTCTTGTCTTTTGTAATTTTTATTCCTCATTTGGTAACTTTACTGAAATATGAGCTATGCAAATGTGTGGATCATACATGATATTTCAAAAATTACAAGTTTGTATTGTGCATTATTTCTTTCTGAATTTCTTAGTAAATAATGGAATTTAGTCATCATAGTATATATCTGTCCAAAATTTATTCAGGACTGTATCAGTAGGTTTTCTTATATCTGATGTATATTGGTTTGAGATAATATTATCTAGATAAACAGATCATTTCGACTTCAAAAATAATCATCACTTTGATGTAAATCATTAATGGTCTCAGGGGAAAAATTATTGATCTAATGAAAGAAAGACAGTCAAGGCCAGGAGTTTGAGACCAGCCTGGGCAACACAGTGAGACACCATCTCTTTGAGGAAAAAAAAACAAGGAAAGAATTAGCTGGGCATGGTGGCATGTGCTACTCAGGAGGCTGAGGCTCAAGAATTGCTTGAGCTGAGGAGTTTGAGGCTGTTATAATCATGAGCTATGAGCATGCCACAGCACTTCAGCCTAGGTGATAGAGCAAGAACCTGTCTCTAAAATAAATGAATAGATACATACGTTTTTAGTTTTGCCTTTTTTGAACCAAATGCAAAATAGCTATTAAAACTCCCTTTTAAAAAGACATAAAATTGTGTATAAATAGACATCAAAGTGTTTTACCTGCATCATATAATTCCATTTGACCATTGTTACTTGTTATTGCTTGTTCACCTCCACTATTTATGTTTCAATATATTCTTTTGGAATTGTACTACATCTTAATTTCTTTTTCTCTGTTGGTTTCCATTTTTGTGGGTTTCATTGCCATTTTCCATTTTGCAGATTGTCCCACATCTCATTCTACTAAAACTGTCTTCCCATCACCTGCCTTTCTTGACGAAGAAGAATTCAGTGACTTTATGCAGGGGCCTGTTGAAGTTCCCCCATGTGGGCCTTCTTCCATGTCCCAGCCCTTTCAGTCTTTCCACCCCTCCACCCCACTTGGCCAGTTGCATACTCAGAAGGCTGGGACACAGCCTCTCCCTCCAGGTCAGAGTCCAGTGCCTTTTGCCTTACATGGTGTCCCTGGGCAAATTTCTTACTTCTCTACTGCTTCAGCCTCACACAATATACCGAAAGCAGGTAACTCTTAGCATTATTAATGAAAATATTCTTAAGATATCCTGGCATAACTTATATCTGTTATATAAGTAGAATAATCCAGTGATGTTGGCAAATGTGTACATGAATGTATGACTGCTATTGAAATTCAGCAAAATAAGAGTCTAGATTTTTAAATTCTGGGATCTTCACATTCCAGAAAGGTGATTTAAAACTTTTGCTCCTCAACTAGGAGCAATTTAAACTGCCATATAACTTTAAAAGGAATCTCCTGATTTTTCCAGAAGATTGTTGTTTGGGAGATTCACCAATATCATTTTCTTAAGATTAAGGAGCTAGGAAAGGCTTCTTTAGAAAGTGTTCTTTCTGGTTCAGTGACAGAGCACTTGGGTGCAAAAGCCCAGGTTGTTCATTTACTATCAATTTGTCCTTTGTCTACCTTAGATTTTGTCATCTATAAAACGAGTAGAGACATCTACACATCCTGGCTTGAGACAGTGCTAGAGGGGATCTTGGCAGACATGTACTTAGTCCAGACTTTCTCATTTGATGGACATAGAAACAGAACAAGAGATGATGATGGTGTTACTGGCCAGAGGCCTCCCTAGGAGTTAGTGAAACTATTAGCTTATGTAGATTGTCAGATTTCAAAGGTAGTGCTCCTTCCACTACACTCTTCCACCTACTGTCTCATAGAATTCTTTAGAATCACAGTAGGATAATTATGTTTAAGTTCTCTGAAATCTGTAAAGTCTCTCAAGTCTTATACAGATGTGTGGTGATTGAATTATTTCAATGTTTACATTATATGTGGCAGGGCCTTCCCTTTAGTATATGGGGATGAGGCAGGCACCATGGCTCACGTGTGTAATCCCAGCACTTTGGGAGGCTGAGGTGGGCAGATCACCTGAGGTCAGGAGTTACAGACCAGCTTGGCCAACATCATGAAACCCTGTCTCTACTAAAATACAAAAGTTAGCCGGGCGTGGTGGCGGGCACCTATACCCAACTACTCAGGAGGCTGAGGCAGGAGAATCCCTTGAACCTGGGAGGCAGAGGTTGCAGTGAGCCGAGATTGCACTAGTACAATCTACAATTTTTTTTGAGACTCCGTCTCAAGAAAAAAAGAATATGGGGGTGGAGATGGATGATTGAGAAGATTAGATATATACAGTTATATACAAATAATCCTTCATGCTGTTTGTTTAGGCCCTTCCTTGGAGGAGAAGCTCCTAGTATCTTGTGATATAAGTACATCTGGGCAGGAACAAATAAAATTAAATACCTCTGAAGTTGGCCACAAAGCCCTAGGCCCAGGTTCCAGTAAGAACCATCCCAGTTTAACGGCCAGTAACGGGGGTGCTCTACTAGATGGATATATAAGTGGTACCACCACTGCCAAGGCAGAAAAGACTTCAGATCAAAACCTGTCAATTGAAGAGAGTGGTGAGCTCGTGAAACATTCAGCAAAAAACTTGTTTAACCAAACGTTGCTCAAATGCTAACACCTTAAGCATTAATCTTCAACTGTATGCTGCTTGATTTTGCTAATCGAAGTTTTGCTTGAAATATGTTTAATGCATTCCTTTCTCCAATTAACCCCTAAGATTTTGCTCTGAATTCTTTCAACACAGTTACTCTTTCTAAAAAATGATTTTGATAACTGGTTTTCTTAATTGGAATCATTTCTGAATTAAAATTTTATTTTATAAAAGCTCTCTTTTTTCCCCCCTTATACTTTCTGTTCTTCCATAAAAGTTGAAAAGTTAAAATACAACTGGAAAAGTCACCAATGAGAATATACTTTTGCTTTCTCTAAAATAAATAATATGCACCACTGCCTAAAAGATGTAAATTTTATAAATTCAAACCTCAGAAATAAATTAGAATGTAGGCAGCCTAGGAGGCAAACTTTTGGAGGATATTTTACTGGACGAAAAAAAACAAAAGTCCTGTATATTTAAGAGAGCAGTATCATATGTAGGTTAAAAAAAAAAAAATGAAACTTTACAAAGAAACATTAGTAAAAGCTGCAAGTAAAGCTTGGACAATTAAATCTTTTTAATTGACATTTATCTGATATAATTTTAAACTATCATCTATCATGTTTTTTCCCTTAATTTGTAATACATGTTAAGTGGTGCAAGGCTGATATGATTTAGAATGTTGATTTGATACATTTTAGTTTTTGTATAATTCACTCTTTAGAACATACTGTACAAGAGTTGCTTAGAAATCAAATAATTTTATTCTGAATCAGAGGGCAGGGGACCAAATATTTAATTGTATTGGTGACTTTTTGAGTAGTGCTGTTTATAAAAAACATGACTCAGTGTGATTTCCCCATCTTCTCCATGGACCACTATATACATTAATGTTTCTTATCTTCTAGGTGTGGGAGTATTTCCCTCACAGGATCCTGTTCAGCCTGGAATGCCTCCTTGGATTTACAATGAGAGTTTGGTTCCAGGTAAAAAAGCTTCTTTGCCTAGGATTCCCATCTGGATATTTTGCTTTAAATATTGTAAATGTAGTAAGTATTTACTGTTGTAGTTACAAAATATGCAGAAGGAATTGTCTCTTTTTTTCTAAAAGAGCACAGAAATTAAATATTGTGTTTCATAAGACTGCCTCATATATGGAGTAACTATATAAATGAAGGAGAATAGCTTTGTTTTAATGTTTTATTAACCATCATACTTTTATTTTTAAAAGCTTTCTTAGATTTATCATGCTTTAATGGACATTATCAAATATTTACTTCAGCAATTTACTTAGCAAGAATTTTGCTAAAATATGTAATGTAATTTTCTGAATTCTTAGTTTATATTTTTAAAAATGTTCTTTCTATGACTTGTTTGTAATACCATTTGAAGTAAAAGACCATGTGGCATCTTTTTTTCCACATTGGAAGATGTGCAAGATGATATTTACTTTTTTTTTTTTTTTTTTTTTT